TTTTACTTACCAATTTTTTAAATGCTGTTAATGCATTTTCCACCTTTGACTCTTTAACCCCTTAAATGTCCAGGGCCCACTGGCAGACCCAAAGTTGTATTACACTCTTCTATAATCTAAGAATACTTCAGCCAGTCAGTTTGCAGTTGAGTCCCTGAAGTTACTGAATAATAAGCCTTAGTATGTATTGAGCCTGAGATTTTAAGGGATTAAACCATCTATAGTTCCAGGCTGAAGCCCAGCTCCAGAGTGCTTGTGTTGCTATGACTGCGAATAAAGCCCTCTTGTTGATTGTTTTTGAATGGTGAAATACATTGATGGCTCCTTTGATAAACCAATAGTTATTACAGCTTGTATGGTGAATCTGTTTATCATTGAAGTACATCGAGTCTGAAGCAACATTTACAAGCAAAACGCAGTGCTGGTGCTGGGCAATATCAGTAATATGACTGATGTTAGCACCTACAAAACAAGACGCAGTGTAGCTGTATGAGAGCAAGACACCACAATCACAGAGGAGTTGGAACCATCGACTGTATATAAGATATATATCGTCACTGTCCAGAAAAAAACAAAATTTTTTGTTTACATGAGAAGGCAGGAGAAGGCAAAATGGTATTTACCTTTAATGTAAGTTAATGTAAAGAGATTTTATTCCCAGCAGTGTTGGAGCATTTCTATTGGTGCATTCATCATGAAATTTGTTGCACAACGCACAGGGAAGCTGCTGACACTGATGTTGAATGAGAAGGCCTGGCTCACATTCGATGTTTCTAAAGCTCTTCAGTTTGGTTGAGGTCAGGGCTTTGTGCTGGCCACTGGTGTTCCTCCACACCAAACTTCTCCTATGTCTTTATGGAGTAATCTTTGTGCACAGGGGCTCAGTCATGCTGGAACAGGAAAAGGTCTTCACCAAACATATAATTGTGTAAAATGTCTCTGTATGCTGTAGCTTTAAGATTACCCTTTACTGGAACTAAGAAGGCCAAACCCTGAAAAACAGCCCCAGACCCATTATCCCTCCTCCACCAAACTTTACTGTTGGCACTAGGTGTTCTGGTAGGTAGTGTTCTACCAAACCTTGATTCACCCATCAGACTGCTAGATAGTGAAGCGTGATTCATCACTCCAGAAAACATGTTTCTACTGCTCCAGAGCCCAGCGATGGTGTGCTTTATGCTACTCTGGTCTATGCCTGGGATTGCGCATAGTGATCTTAGGCTTGTGTGCAGCTGCTCGAGCATGGAGACATATTTTATGAAGCTCCCAGCGCATGATTTTTGCTTCCAGGGGCAGTTTGGGATTGTAGTAAGTGATGCAACATAAGAGAGGCGATTATTACATGCTGTGCTTTTCAGCACTCTGCAGCCTAGCTCTGAGCTTGTGTGGTTTACCACTTTGCGGCTGAGCTTCCATTTCAAAACAACAGCACTTGAAGTTGGCTGGGGCAGCTTTAGCAGGGCAGAAATTTCTATTTGTGAATAAGTTGGTATGGGCAAAGTGCACCTGCAAAATGGCAAAAGAGGCTATATATATACATGTATGTATGTATGTATGTGTATATATATATATATATATATGTATATGTATGTGTGTGTGTGTGTGTGTGTGTGTGTGTATATATATATATATATATATGCTCATGTCATGTTAATTATGCAATTAATAGTGTTTGACAGCTTTTTTTATAAAAGTAAGAAGGAAGATTGAAGAAAAACTAAAGCTGGTTTAAAGGCAGGCTACAGACATCAACTTGACCTGAGCCCAGCTGATATTTGAGAAACAGTGACCGATCTCTGGCATGAAGAGTCAGATTCCAACAGATATTTCTATCTCTGATGCACACAGCTACAGCTCCACCAGCCACAGAATAATGACAGCACGCTGTAAGAAAGACTGATGTGTGCAGTATAAATGTGAGTGTGTGTGTGTGCACAGCGTGATAGACAGACAGTCAGCTCCGGTATTTCAAAACCTCTGTCACAAAGTCATAGAACAGATACACTGATAAACTGCAGGTGAATTCTTTGCATGAGTTTAAATTGAATATAGCTGGAAAAATAAAGCACGGCCTACGGCTGCTCATCAAAAGCTTGGGGATGCTCAGCTTTTCAGCATAGTCTTAATAAATGAGCATGTTTGTTCATCTGAAATAACTTACAGTGCAGTCCAGTAATGAAACGGGAATGCCGTCAGTTTTTCAAAGTCTCTGAGTAATTTAGTCCTTGGCTTGTAAACAGAGTCATTCAGAGTGGTTTGATGTGAAATGGTTGATTGTAGAGAAACACAGACTCTGATTTCTTTACAGTGGTGGTGATAGGAACCAGGGGTCACGGTCACGATATCTACAACACAATACAGCCATTTTATTTACTGTCCAAAACCAACAGTGAACCTGCACGTGCCTTCTGAGTTTTATGTGTAATGTTCATGATGGTAAAATAGTGATAAATCTGAAAAAAGTAAGTTTTCTTTGGGGACTATTACAACACCCTGCATGTACCCCTCTGCCAGGAATGGATTAAAATGGATCTTAAATCAAATTTTTATCACAAAATTGTTGTAAAACAATGTGTCAGAGATCAGGCAGCATATATCTAACCATTACATGTAATGACTTTCTGTGAGGGAGCTTTTAGGGGCATTTAACTCTTCAGGCGTCTGGTTCCTATCACCACCACTGTGAACAGTTCAGACTCTGCGAGTTTTTCTACAATGGAGCATTTCACATCAAACCACTCTGAATGACTTTGTTTACATCTCAGCCCTTAAATTATGTAGAATTTCTTTAAAATTGGTGGAGTTTCCCTATAAGCGTCCAGTATGCGGAAGTTGTATTTTTACCCAAATATAACTACGGTTTATAAAACAGGTCAACAGAGATTGTTTTTCTTAAAGAAACTTACAGTTTGAGCACATTTGAAACTATATGACTCGGTTCTGACATTTGCTTTCATCAGCTAGTTGGTAAACTGTATCAGGATTAAGGGGCTCTTTGATAACAAAGCTAAAAGGAGCGTCCGGCTATTGGACATCAGAAATTGTCCGCTTTAAGAGGCACATAGTAAATAAGAATACATGTATTATTTTATTAGGTATTTCTACTTTTAATGGGAAGTTTCAGCTTCTTTTGTCTGGTACCCTCTGTAGACCTGTGAAGATAGAGTTCAGTGCATTTTAATAACGATAACTGCCAGTGCAATCTCGATGTTTAAACAATAGGCCTCATGTCTCTGAATAGGGAACCTTACAAGAGGAAAAAAAGACATTCTTAACCTTTAATGTAAGTTAATGTAATGAGATTTTATTCCAAGCAATTTCTGACTGTTTCTGTTGGGATGTTCATCATAAAATGTTTAAACAGTGTAAAGGGCAGCTGCTGTACTCAGATCATGTATAAAATAACGAGAACAAAAAAGATACATGGTTTTGATATGATAGTAGTGATGTGTACCCTCCGGCTTCTTGTGTGGATGTATGCTCGCTGTATGTTTTCTTCTTTCTGTTGTGTCGTACAATATGTGGACGGTCACTATAGATCCAAGACCACAAGCACCTCTTCTGAAATTAAGGGTATTAATAAAGAGTTTGCTGCAGTAGCTTCTACTCTTCTGGGAAGTCTCTAGACTGGGGGGTGGATTTGCTAATGTTTTGTCCTGACACAAACTCTTGGTGTTAAAAATTGTCTGTCATGTTTTACTGCATAACCACGATGGTTATTTTAAGACCCTTGGTAAGTGAAAGGGGCGGAGCTGCTCTTTTGCATTTTTGACTCATTGCATGTGCATTTATAGGAGTTTTCCTCTCAAAGCACAAAATGCTGAGAGGAGATTAGTATAATGAAGCACCTACTCTCATTTACCAAGAGTGATAGTAAATACTGGTTGTTCACTGAGAAAAGATTATTATTAAAGTTTTTTTTTTCTCGCTAATGTAGTTGTTATTGTTTATGTTCAGTTTCTTAAACACAATTTATTTTCCATTGAAAAGACCCTGGACAGGTCACCAGTCCATCACAGGGCAGATACACAGACATATACATACACACATAATCACACCTAGGGGCAATTTAGCGTGTCCAGTGGACTGTGGGAGGAAACTGGAGCCCCTGGAGGAAACCCACACAGACACGGGGAGAACATGCGAACTCCATACAGAAAGGACTCTGGTCGCCTGGCCGGAGAATCAAAGCCAGGCCTGCCATGTCCCATTATTTTTAATGCAATGAAAAACTGAGTAGATTTAGAAAAATAATTTTTGAAGCTCCCTTTTTTCAATATTTTGGGTATTTTTATAACACTGTCAAAGAGCAGGCTTCTCATGAATAATGATTTGACATTGTTTTTCAGTACACCTACTGGGACATAAAAGGTTGCACTCAGAATTAAACAATTCCCAAAGACATGGATGCACCTCCGTTTTACAGCATTGCGGGTTTGCAAGCACAATCGGCACAGAATTTATAGTTCAGCTCATCCACCCAGCTGAAAATGAACATGTTTATCCAAACAGAAAGTCAAAATAATGTCATTTTCTTCTGGTTGAAACAAGCTTTCATAAAAAAAGCATGTGAGTCTAACACATGGTTATATTGCGCTGATCATATGTTAATTATGAAGACACATCTGTGTTCATTTACATGGTAGCTAATTGGCTGAATTAGCCCCCCCCCCCTCCCCACTACTGGCACAAAGTGTCAGCAGACTGTCGATAATTACTGCCTCTCTTAGTAAATCTGCCCCATAGTGCATATTGCAATTGCAGTGTGCGGTTCTAATCATACTGTGTGTGTCTTGATTTGTTTGACTCTGTGTGCTCTGCTGAATATGTGCCTCTGTGTTGCTTTTTCTGGCGTTCTGTCTGGTGAGCCTGGTGTCTGAAAGGCCTGAAGGAGGCTGAGGCATTGCTCAGTGAACTACTTTGTGAAATGGGTGTTTACTTTGCGTGTTGTGGGTGCATGGTAATTATGTATGTGTGTGTGTTTGTGTGTGTTGGTGCAGGCCTGAGGGAGGTGGTATTTGTCATCCAGAGCCAGCGGAACTCCTTCCATGTGCAGCGGGCAGAGAGATTGCGGGCAGACCTGCTCCTGCAGACTGAAGTGCTCCGAGAGGTACACTCACTCTTAATCACTGCCTGTGTATTTTAGACATATTCATACGCTTTCCTTCACTTTCTTTACCAGGATTGACCTGCAGTTCATGTAGCATTCATAGTACACTTTATTTGAGGCCTGCTACATAGCATTGACATAACCATGCCATAAACATCTCACGGCAGATGTCATGTACTGTTAATAGGGGTGGAGGATGTAGGGACAAAGTGTATATTATGATACACAATATGTCACAATTTATCTTTTGACACAGATAAAATATGATTTTAGTGTGACATTTAACTGCTATCAAACACTACTATGAAAAACATTTCACATGCTGCACTAAATCCAATTAAGCAGGGCTAATTTTGCTCTCTTTGTAAGAGAACATGCAGTTGTTCAGTGTTATTTAAGGACTGATGATGTCCAGAATATGTTCAGAGAAGCATATTCTGCATCATGATAACAAAAATGATTGCAATAATGATCAAATTTCGTCATATTGGCTGCCTTGCACTGCTATGACTTATGACAGATTTTGTTTCATTAATATAACAGTGTCATGTTACCCTTACTGGCAATTGTCATGGTAATGGTTGTGTCAGTGTTACGGAGCAGGGGGCAGTCATAGGCTGGAGGTTAGGGAACGAGCCTTGTGTCTGGAAGGTCGCCGGTTCGATCCTCTGAGCTGACAATGTGTCCCCTAGTGTGTGCGCATTCACTAGTGTGTATGTGGTGTTTCACTGCACGGATGGGTAAAATGCGGAGGTGAAATGTCCCTGTTGTGGGACTAATAAGTTAACACTTAACTTAATCTAAGAGGTTCTGGGCTTGAATCTACACTAACATTCAGAAGTTTGGAATCACTTATCGTCATGTTAATTATTGTTATTTTATGCAGTGATAACTTGAACAGTGTAGACTGAAGGGTAAAACTTTTCTTTAACAGGCTGAAATTCTACACACTTAAAAAAGAAGGTTCTTCAAGTGTTCTTTAGTAAAGAAAATGATCCTATATAGAACTGTGAACATTGAAAGAACCTTTTGCATTATTAAAGGGCTCTTTGCATTATGAAAGGATTCTTCAGAGTGAGGGAGAGTGTGTTTTACATGGTTCTAAACAGAACCTTTTTGAAAAGGGTTCTATATAGCACCAAAAAGGGTTCTTTTATTGTTACAGACTTGATGTCATAACGATAGAAGAACACTTATTGGTGCTATATAGAACCCTTTTTAACAACATCGATTTTTACAGCACGTTCTCTGTCAACTATTTAAGATACAACAAACCCTTTAACCCATTTCTTTACTAAAGAACCCTTGAAGAACCATCTTAACCAGGAAAGTGTGAGTACAAACTCCAAAGTGCTAAGATCCAAGGCAGTCTATCTAAATAGGAAGGAAATGCCCAACAGGTTGTAGGTGTTAACTGAGTCTCCACAGTACCATATAATAATTTTGAAGTTTGAAAAACACAGAGTAGTTATATAACACAAAAACATTGAGTGTCTCTAAACGAAAACTGTACTGTAAACTGAGCTGTAAAAGAAGGTAAATCTCACTGTAGTTTTACTGCATCTTTACCATTTACTTCTTTGTATTTTCTGCCTTTGTTTTACACCACATAGCTTACTTGGTACATGGAGATGTTTCTGGTTTACTTTTCTTGCTTAAACTTGTGACTACATTGAAATTTGTACTTTTCACTTTGTTACTCCAGATGTTAGTATGTCCTTTATCAGTTTAAAAGCTAGAACCAGTTAGTCATTTCAGTGTAATGTAGTTAGACTGTCTTGGAACCCACCTGCACATTACATTAAATAATTATCAAGTGTTTCAGAGTTTATAATTCACATCTGTAAAAGAAAATATTACTGATTGAAGTACTGTAAGATAGACTCCAGATGTTTTATTCATTATTTAAAGTCATCAAATGATAAATAATATACTGTTATTGTGTATTTACAGTAATTCCTGGTTAAGTTATTGAGCTTTAATCACCACTTTTCAGATACAATTTTATTATAATTTCATTCTCGATGTTCTGCAGCTTTCTCACTTATTTTACAGCTTATCTACAGCTCTGTCCATCTTTGTGGGCATCATTTTTATTTACTGCTTCTGACTAATTAGTTGAAAACTATGGGGTCGGCAACCCAAAGTGTTGTCTGTTCTCAGTGTTTGATCCCGTTCCACCTTAAATGGTGCCTGAGGCACCAATGTAACTGCGCACCATTTAAGGTGGAACGGGAAAATTCGAACAAGGTGGCGATCAGTAATCAGTTTCTCTTGCAGATTAAACCTAACAGGAAACCAGCTGAGTGCTTATAGATGAAAATAAGTCACTTTGTCTCCGAATCATTGATGTTCATAGCCTTTTCATTAGCTACCAGCTAGGTGAGACTTTTCTGCGTTGCTATGGTGACCAGCACTCTGCGTGCCAACCTTCAGGGTTAAGGGGGGATATTAGCAGTTTTACATTCCACCTCCAACGTTTAAGACTATTTATGTTAAAACTGTATTAGAACGATCAGCAGAGCTTTATTTTAAGGGGGATTAAGGGGGATTATTTTATTTTTACCTAAATGTCTCATTTTGATGTGGAGCCACAACAGGGCAGTAAAAGAGCCGCATGTTGCCGATCACGGTTTTAGGCTATCAGCGTCACAATGGAATTATGTATCTGCAACAAATCTGTTTTTCTAATAATGAAAAGAGTAGTTTAAATTTGAATGGTAGTGTATGATCCTGAGATTAAAAAAAAACTTTATATACCGTTTAACCGGTGGTGCAGAACTAGGGCCAGACTGAAATTCTGGTCCCTCAGATTTATTGGTATCATCACTTTTTTTTTATTGATTGTTTCACATTGTGTTCATAAAAACATTCTGATGATTAAATGATATAACGCTCATATGTTCATAGCTGATTTTCATTACATCCTTAAAGAAACGTCCACTAAAGCTTCTTTAGGGAGCCAGAACTGTTTGTTGCATCACATCGAAGAATCGTTTAGGTCATCTTTAATTTTAAGAGTGTACGCAATAGACATGCAGCTCACTTTGCAGCTTCTTTTGATTTCTAGTAGGCTAGTTTAGCCAACCACAAGTCTGCACACATTAAATCTGCCAAATATCAAATCTGTCAAAGAAGACCTGTTGTTAGCCAGGCTTAGCTCAGAGCAGTACACCAATCACTGCTGTCAATCAGACGGTCAGTTATTCTGTAAGACCTCGCTCTGCTTTACTTTTCTAGTGAGCTTAAAGCTTTAATGAGCCCAAATGCCTCTTACTGATAACTCTCACTGAGAAAAACACCCACTGCCTCAACATCAGCTATTTTAATGGAGATCTGTCTCTCAGATTGAAACAGAAAGCCAAATTAGGCAGTGCATTCATGCTTCACCATGCTTAAAGCACAACAGCTGTGAGCCGAGTTAAAACGTGCATTGTTTACACTTGTTTACGGTCGGCTTTATTTCAGCTGTTAATGTTTATAGTGTTTATATTTATTAATGTTGAGTTTTTGCTAACGGTTTGTTTTGTGTTTGCTAATAGAATGTAATTATAGAATATAATGCAATAATGTAATAATATTGCAATATGCAATAATAGTTAAATAAAACAGTAAAACATAGAAAATATGCCATTTGTTTTTTAAAACATGCAGTGCTGTGCAAACAGTAAAAGTTGGCCATTAAGGGCAAGTTGTTTTTCAGGAGCTGGTTCAGATAAGGAGGGAAAATGTCAGTGGAAAATAAGTAGAAAACAAGAGTTTTTAAAACTAAGTTTATTATTATAACATTAAGAGAAAATGTCAAACCTTCACTGTGAGAAGACAACTCAGCACTACGGTCCTGAAAGGATGTGTATCTGTCAAGATGCCCTCACTGAGAAAAGCAAATAGAGTGTTGTGAAAATGTATTTGCCCCTAAGACAAAGACAACTAGGCTGAACACAAAATACTGTTTTTACATCCTTATTTCACTCATTGAAGGAAAAAAGGTTATTCAGCACCAACTGACCCTGTGTGAAAAGTAATCACTCTTCTAGTTACTCAATTAAACAATCAACAAGACATTTACCAATTTACCAGTTGTGAAACATGGTGGTTGTGCTTAACCAGTACTTAATGGCTCAAAACTAAATAAATAAAGGGCCTCTGACTGATGCACAGTACTGTATATAATATATACAGTCAAATCCTGGAAAAATATATTGCAATGCTTTATACTGGTAGTCCTCTGTAGATGCTTTGTAGATGCTCTGTCTGTCCTAAAATATCATTTGACTAATTATCTATTACATATGTGTCAAAGCTTCCATTAGAACTAACCCTCACACTAAACCTGACTGTAACCTTAACTTCAACACAAAGCCTACACCTAGTCCTAAACCTAACCCTAACCGTAATGATGTATGATGTTGGTAGTCAACTGAGTATCAGCAGAAAGTTAGTTAATAATTTAAGCATCTGTCGATAATTCTTAGGTGACCATCAGTATCGAATGTGACCAAAAATTCAAAAGGGAAATTGGGAAAAAAAATAAACGGGCTGCACTAAATATGCTTCCCAAATGTGACATGCTTTTACAAGCTGCTAACATGACACCCTTTAACTGATTTCAGTTAAAGCCCCTACAGCACACATGAATCATACGAGTCTAAAATGTGGCATGCAGTGATTTATCTTTGTTTGAACATAGTTCGTGTTCATTCTCTCACTATTCTGGCTGCCATGACCCCGTCACAATGCCAGATATATGTTAAGAGCATTAACCCATAACATGTCCTATCTGACGGGAATAGCATTCCTCCGAGGCATGCTCTTAAGACGTGCCGTAAAGTCTGAAGGCTATTGGCTCGTGTCAAGAAGGCGCTAACAAGACCTTCTTTAATCATAATTTTCCCTTTATATCAATAGGGAGGAAACGTCCTTGATCTGTTCAATGGTGTTAGATTCATCTGAGAAGTCTTTACAGAGTAAAGGCCACTGCTAATCCGTTCTAGCATTCC